AAAGAAAATACAATGAAGTAGATATGTAGGCATTTTTATGTATGTATGTAGAACCTGGAATTATTAATGAAAGGCGATAAATATAAAATATGTATTATAACCTTTTAAATAGTAAGCCTACTGTCAACCCTACCTAACAATTTGATGTCCTTCTTACCGGATGTGTAACTAGACAGCTTGACCCATCTAAGGCCCTAAATAGTTACAAATAATTTCAACCAAACTTGGTTGTTCCACTCAGATAGGTAGGTAGATAAGTTAAGTAGTTGCCCAATGTACCTTATTTATGGAACTGTAACTGCGAAAAAAACTGTGTACTGAGTACGAAGTTTCGCAGGTGTCTGATAGTAGTCCCGAAGAACTTCTCAGGCAGGGCTGGTTAAATGGCGTTCAAATGGTTCCACCTCCTCCTCCTCTTACAGGCAGGATTCCGGTGTGATCTTTATTCCTACTGCATGAATTTTAATCGGACACTGCCCTGTCAAAACACCTTTAAAAGTTGAGGGTTGGCCTTTTGTAAGCCTAAGAAGTTCCCTTGAAGGCCTCCGATTCACTCTTGCCCAGCAAAACCTTGCGGTCCAGAGGCTAATACCAGAAAGGTACAATTCTTAGCCAACTCAACTGCCACCTAGTAAGTATCTGAGAATTTGGAAACCATATACTATGTAAGTATAACTTAGAAATTAGGAAATCAGACGCATTTGAATTAAGGGTGCCAGCTACTAAAGTTGAGCAGACCGCGATCGAACCGAAGGTCCTGATTTCTGTTTTTCTATCAGAGTAGATGTTTACCTCACTTATCACGTTACACATTTCAGAACTCTGTCTACTGCTTCCTTAGTGGTAGCTACCTACAAAATAATAAGTCTGGAAGTCAGCTAAGCACCTAAAGCCCCTAAGTCAGGCATAACGTTCTGTGCTAGAGGTGAAGTAGGTCTACCGTTTCACCCGCTCCAATTTCCTATATAGCGCAGTTTTTTCTAGGTAATTACACCAGACGAGGACTTCGAAGAACATTATGGGCTTCACAGTGGTGTCATACGGTCAGGATACCACTTTACAAAGTAGACCGCATCCCTTACCAATTGTACTTTTTCAATAGTAGAGAGCCACTGGTATCTTTTCGATGACTCCCGTTTAGAATAAAACCCAAGTATGTAATTGACTCAGATAGCGTATGACTGAAGTTAACAATTCGGAAAAGAGTCACATGACTGCCTCGGAGACCTTTGGTATAAGCGCATGGCTTTCAAATTAATTATAAATATGTAATATATCGGCGGATGAGCGGAGCCGGTTCGAAAAGTCCAATATATCGGCAGCTCAGGGGGGATGTTCTTCAACCAAATTCCGATGTGTGGCGTTCTTGAGTTATTTTCTAGTATAGGGCGTTTTCAAACCGGCTGCCGAGATGGGTCGATCTTCCACTTAGCCGCCGATATGTAGTTGCAAATCTTTTTCTCAAATATACAGCTCGCGCCACACTGCAATAATGTGGCATCTTCTGGTTAATGCATTTTGCTTGCTGTTAGTATTTGTCTAAATATAATATTAAAAAGTAATAATTTCGTACAACGTTTTTAAGGAAGATTCTAAGATTCTCTGACTTTTTAAAGTTGCAGGTTTTATTGGGAATGTCGGTAAAGGATTTTTTGAAACACCTTCCCAATACCGCCCACCCCGGAAATTTTGAAATTATTACCGTAGGTCCCGCGGGTTAGGCTGCAGTCTTCTGTAGGTCCGAGTGACACCTATGTCTCTTTCCAGGAGTCATCCAAAAATTTTTGTGGGAGCACAACTAAATTAAAGTTTTAATTCAAACGGTAACAACATTCGTATGTATTAACCCTCTAGCAACTTATTCACAATTGTTGATGTGAGGAAAAGGCCAATAAGATTAAAAATGTCACTAAAGACTGTTGCGTACGCATTTCTAATACCAGCAGCCATGAAAGACGTATTTCGAAAACTGGTAGCAGGCATTTATGGTACTGGGGACGACATACAATAAGCAGTTTCACTGCATGGCTTCCATTGGCCTACTTTTAAGCCATTAAACTAATACAACTAAAGTTTTATTTCTACCCCAAATCAACCACATACATACCTGTTTACAACTGAATATGTAGCTCTCCAAAGCATTTCGCGACTGTATGCGTTGCCTCTGTTTCTCATCCTCGTCCTTGTAACGTTCCGCATCCGACAGCATTCTATCGATTTCTGCCTTCGACAGGCGTCCCTTATCATTGGTGATTGTGATCTTCTCCGATTTCCCAGTACTGTTATCCTTAGCCGACACATGCAATATACCATCAGCGTTGAGATCGAAAGTGACCTCAATTTTGGGAACACCACGTGGCGCCGGTGGTATGCCAGTCAAATTAAAAGTACCCAATAGATTGTTATCCTTAGTCATGGCACGTTCACCTTCGTACACCTGTATAGTAACTGCATTTTGGTTGTCACTGTATGTCGTGAAGGTCTGTTGCTGTTTGCATGGAATGCGCGCATTGCGTTCAATTAACTTGGTCATAACACCGCCAGCAGTTTCAATACCCAAAGAAAGTGGTGTCACATCGACCAACAGAACGTCTTGAATCTGTGAGCTACCAACACCGGTAAGAATAGCGGCTTGCACAGCTGCGCCATATGCCACAGCCTCATCAGGGTTGATGGACAAGTTCAGTTGCTTGCCACCGAAGAAGTCTTGTAGCATTTTTTGTATTTTCGGAATGCGTGTTGAGCCGCCCACTAGCACAACATCATGTATGGTAGCTTTGTCCATTTTCGCGTCATTCAATGCACGTTCCACTGGCTCCAACGTCGAACGGAACAAATCCATATTCATCTCTTCGAAGCGTGCACGACTAATCTTCGAATAGAAGTCAATGCCCTCATGCAACGCATCAATCTCAATAGACGCTTCGGTGCTGCTGGAGAGTGTACGTTTTGCGCGTTCGCAGGCGGTACGCAAGCGTCGCAGTGCGCGCACATTGGACGATAGATCGCGTTTGTGTTTACGTTTGAATTCCTCGACAAAGTGATTCACCAGACGATTGTCGAAATCTTCACCACCCAGATGTGTATCACCGGCAGTCGACTTGACCTCGAAGAGCGAGCCCTCATCGATGGATAGAATGGAGACATCGAAAGTACCACCACCCAAATCAAAGATGAGTACATTCTTTTCACCTTTCAAATTCTTATCCAAACCGTAGGCTAAAGCGGCGGCAGTGGGTTCATTAATGATGCGCAGCACATTTAGGCCAGCTATCGAACCGGCATCTTTGGTGGCTTGACGTTGACTGTCATTGAAGTAGGCTGGCACTGTAATAACGGCATCGGTCACCTTGCCACCCAGATAGACCTCGGCGATTTCGCGCATCTTGGTCAATACCATTGAACTGATTTCTTCGGGTGCGAAGCGCTTCTTTTCACCCTTGAACTCAACCTCAATTTTAGGTTTGCCACAATCGTTGACCACCTTGAAAGGCCAATGTTTCATGTCCTCCTGAATTTTGGCGTCATCGAAGCGGCGACCAATCAGACGTTTGGCATCGAATACTGTGTTTTTGGCATTCATGGCGACCTGGGTGGGGAACGAGAAAGAAAAATACAAATAATTAAGTCGTTAAAATTATCGAAAAATTTGTGATTTTATTAAGAGCTCGATTTTAGGCGTTAAAGTAGAGATCACAAACGCTTTTAGCGAATTTCGGTAATAACTTCAGCTCTACTTTTGAGCTGCCTTCTATCTTCTCGTATTGATAAACTGCTAAGAATTTTAGTCGTATTTTGACAGTGCAGGATATCGACATGGAAAATGGTTTTAGGTTTCTCTGGTCACCCGCTCACGACAATTCCAGCACCTGTCCACGTTACCCATTCTTTTTGCATGAGCAGCCACCAGAATATGGCTCCTAAACAATCTGGTAACAACTCATTCCACCTAGCCTCTAACTGCCTAGTTATACAAGTTTTGGAGTGTTTGTAGTTTGTCTGTCCGAGAATCAGACTGGTAGCACTCTTACAGCCCCATCCACTAGTACATCAACCTCTTTCCTTTCGGGCCGGGCCTTCTGTTGGCAGCCAGCAGCCGGTCAATGACTTCCCCGCTGCGAGGGACATTTTTGGACGAAATTTTACATGAGTTACCTCAATTGCCGCCGGAATCTTTACGTATACGTTTACATTTGAGTGGAATCCCATTTCCTTGTAGGCTACCTCTGCTCCTACCCTCAAAGCGAAAACCTCTGATTTATAGATATATTCAGCACTCGTCAGGTAATCTTACGCCTGACGTTCAGTTCCCGCCAGTAGGTTAAGAGGACATGTATGGAAAGTTCCACATTTCCACTCGATATCCTTAGTAAGTTGTTCATTTTGCAAAGCAAACAGAGCGAATAATCAAGTCATTTACTTGCGGGACCTTCCGAATTCGATAACCCTGCCAGAATGAGTCGCCTCAGTGGTCAATTGCTTCCAACGAGTACCGAGTTGGATCACCGCTGCAATAGCACAGTGATGACACCTGTCCAATAGCAGAGCTGTTGAGTTTCAGAAGTCTCGCGTTGGTTGTGCGGCTGCAGTTGGTCGAACGAAAAGACTGACTGATTTGCAAGTCCTTCGAATATAGACCGATCGCGCATCTTTGAACCCTCAGTTTAAATGGATATATATACTCAACATCAGCCAATGGTAATACTTTGCTCCATTATTCTATTGTAGGAAACCGTATAGGTATATCTGTATTGAAGCCTCAAACCGGCGTAATGCAACCAGTACTTTCTCCTAATATAAGTAAACGATAATTCCATTAAACCGTTCTCTTTTTATTAAAGAAAGCATTCCTAATCTGTTAATACTTTATTTGAAAATTTCCAAAGTCTATAATTTTTTTCTATTTTCGAGTGTTTGCAATTCTTTCGCAAACTAAATATAGATGTAGTCATAAAGAATTTTCGAAACTTGGCATAAAACAGCAATATTTTTAATGCAACTGATGAACGCTATTTTCATAGCAACGCAAGCATAGAAACATGCCGCGGTGCCGCCCTATACCAGAATGTTCCACGCGTCGTGACTTATGTATGCGTGATTCATATCTCGACACCCACACGATCACCAAAAAAATTCATAACGTTCCCACATCGTCGCTTCAACTTGGCCAACAATAATTGGGTTAGAAAGCAAAAGTTATTAGATGGATGTATGAATGTACATTAGGGTGGTCCAACATTGCATGTGAAAAAGTAAAGTCGGAATTTGAATGCTGTCACCCCCTAAGATTATACTATACCAAAAAAATATGCCCCTATATAATAGGGAAATATTTGGAATTCGCTCAAAGCGCTCAAAGTTGTCCATGCATTTTATATGGGGAAAAAGAACTTTTCGTAGAAATTGTATAGACTTCTTGACAATCAAGATATTTCGACCGGAAACTCTGTTTCTATCCAGGANTATGAAATCAAAAAATATTTGGAATTCGCTCAAAGCGCTCAAAGTTGTCCATGCATTTTATANATAATAGGGAAATATTTGGAATTCGCTCAAAGCGCTCAAAGTTGTCCATGCATTTTATATGGGGAAAAAGAACTTTTCGTAGAAATTGTATAGACTTCTTGACAATCAAGATATTTCGACCGGAAACTCTGTTTCTATCCAGGACACTCCCAATAATAATACGAAATTGTTTATTTAACCATTCTTTCATAGTAACTACATTTTGTACGTTCGTCAAAAACCACTGAAAATGCTATAGGGGAGCCCATAAAAAAAATTGTTGTAAAAAATTGTTAAATAAATAATTGGGTAGTCTCGTGAAGAGAACCATGGTTTACCGATCGAAAAATATTGATTTTCAAGAATTTCCCCATATAAAATACACGGACAACTTTGATCGTTTTGAGCGGCCTCTAAATATTTTTTGATTTCAAAATAATAAAATAGGGTTATATNACCCAGGGTTTTCCGATCGAAAAATATTGATTTTCAAGAATTTCCCCATATAAAATACACGGACAACTTTGATCGTTTTGAGCGGCCTCTAAATATTTTTTGATTTCAAAATAATAAAATAGGGTTATATCTTTCGGTATAAAACAGTCCTGGGGGGATGAAAGCTTTAAAATTGCGACTTTATTTTTTTTTTGACCACCCTAACGTACATACATACATATNTTTACGGTATAAAACAGTCCTGGGGGGTGAGAGCTTTAATATTGCGACTTTATTTTTTTTTTGACCACCCTAACGTACATACATACATATCTATGTACGTATGTATATAAGAGTATCTGTTCATATTTGCTAGGCAAATGCTGGTATAGCGTTAAAAGGTGTCGACGACTCATGTAATGGACCAAAATGGTAGTAAATGTCGCAGAGTGGACCAGCCTGTCTGAACCATAAAAAGGCATTACGAGCGCTCGAGCACTCGAGCACTTGTCTCCGGTGATCATTATGCGTTGTTGTAAAAATAATGAATGACAGCATCTAACATGACATAAGTGTATGGACGAGCTGGTATGCATATGTACTATATAACATACATACATACATACATAAAGTCATATGTACAAAATGTAACTTGACGGACCATCATATTTGGCTTATAACTACTACTCGTTCACAGGCTGCACGATGACAAGTGTGTGTGCATGTGCCATAATTTACAGAATTCCAATGAGACTCTATGCAGCTTATCGTCGACGGGCGATCGTCGCAATTCCCAGCGCTATGTACCTACATACATACATACATACATACATATGTTTTGCCCGTAAATTGGAGGGTCAAGAAAAACATGGTTTCAAGAGTTCATTTTTTTGGTAGGTGCATAGTTTTTTGGAGTGTTGATGAGATGTCAGTGTGAAAATTTATGGTGACAGCTTGTCAATGCGCGATATTATTCTAACACATTGCATTTGTTCGCATTTGAGTTGTAGGAATGCGTTGCGCCTATTTATGAAATTATACATAAATGACCAATTTGGTGTGAAACTAATAAAATTTTACAAATTATCGATTTACATAAGTATTTGGTTAGCATCTGCAGAAGTGGCAAATGCATAATTCATACTTATTTCGGTAGATGCTAGAATGAGTTTATGAAAAATATTTACGAAATTCTCAATCACGAATTATGATTTATCCCTTTAAACAATTTTGTGACGCTGAGAATTCATGAGTCTAAAATGAGTACTTTTTTCATCTTAAATATGATACTGAGACTAGTCAACCAGACTGACTCATTTCAGACTCTTTTGTTGTCATAAATTCTGACTTGAACTAAAATCACAAAGTTCACGCAGAAGTAAGGTTTGTTAGTAATCAGAATTATAAAGAATACTTGTTTTTAAGACCCAAAAAAAGTGAAATATTTCAGACTCTAATATGACTGCTAACTTGGGCTCGCCTTCAAAAAGGGAAATATGATCTTTTCTGACTCCTTTTTAAGCTCTTAATTAGGTTTGCAACTCAGAGGTCTGTGACTTTTCTGACTCTAAAATGAGTCAGCGGTATTTTAGAGAGAGAGAAAAAAAAATGTTGCTTTTGGGAAATGATGTCCGACCGAACGATATCTCCCAGCCAAGACCACTTACATAACTGCAGCGCAATTCAGTTCTTTTCTAAAAACCTATGCAAACGCAGAGCGAAGAGAAGAAAACCAGTGACCAATAAGGAGGCTATCTCTGACTATACCAAAGAGAGTTCAGAGAAAGTAGAAATTGAAGTCATGATCATCACAAACGAATGAGTGCTAGCGGATCTATCATTCCAAGAGACCGCAGATGGAACTCCCGAGCCAGACTTCCTAGACTTGATGAACTGCCACAAAGATTTAGGACTACATATGTAGATTTGGTGTTGCTTTCAACGCCTAAAATGTAATTTTTGTACAGAAATTTATTCAAATAATGGAATTTTTTAGAACAATGCAGAAATAATGCATGTATAAGCATGGAGATTATTATACCGTTTAAACCTCTTAGTTTTTTTTTAATCTCATGTATACCAAGGCAGCTTGTATTGCCTTTTCCGAATTAGGGCAATGGATATTTCTATAAATTTTTCATACAGTAGAAATTTACATGTTTGAAAAGGGTTGCAAAAAGTATCCCTTATATCTGTATCAGGCAAATGTCGTTCCGTGACGCGCGAGTTTGTCGGCGCTGCAAATTACCTGAATTTCGGAATTCCAAGGTACCCAGATAATGTGTGCGCAAAATATCTCGTTCAGAGCTCGGTGGCATTGAGCAACTACTTTTGAAGTACGCGGCATTTTCCCCAGGGATTTAACAGCCGTCTGGCTGTCAGTGAAAATCTAGATATCATGACCAGAAATCGTATCACACCACATCACGGGTCTTTGAGATAGCCATCAGTTCCGCAGTAATCAAGAAGGCGGGACCTGAATTATATACCTAATTGCTCCGAAGAAACCTCACCCGCTACGAACTTGGGCTCCTGAGTCCGATTTTCGCCTGTAGCCCTGGTGCAGGAGTATACAGAAATTGTGGCTTTTCGAAACTTTCATCGATGTAAGGTTCCCAATTTACTTTTCCTATCCAGATTTAAACCTAGATATTTAGCCTGATAGGCTCTGTGTAGTGTAGCACCATTTAAGGTGACATTTTCGAGAGATGGACAGCTGCGTTTCCTTGTAAATAAGTAGTGCCAGTTCAGACTTTTTGGAATTTTTTTGAAAGCACCTTCAATGACCAAGAACACAGACAGAGGATATTTTTTGTGATGTCCCACTGCAGACGAGAAGCTTGAGTTTGCTTTTGGGACCATATTAGTTGGTCACGCTTCCGTTCTCAATATTACAGCCGATTAAGCTCCTACTAATCCCGACATACCCAGCCTACATATGTACATGGGTACCGCACTATACTAACCTCCTCTCACAGTCAATTTCACGAAAGCACTTTAAGTAAAAAATTATTTAATTTTTTGAACGTTACATGGATAGACAGACAATAAAAAGTCATTTACCATTTAAATTGCTGATGAAACCGGCTGTTAATATCCCCAAACTTATTATCTGGCAACTCTCTTTTCTTCGTATTGTCTAACCCTCTGCGTGTTTCATGAACCAACCGTTAGAAGAGATTGACGAAAACACTTAATGTATTCGCTAACTTATACCTTATTTTCACCAAAGGCTTAACTGCGGTTAAGAGCTCAGGTAGGTTCCAAGAATTTAATCATAGGGTGATCGTCAAGGTTTATTTATAAATTTTCGCTTTGATCCCTTCGTACTTGTACTTAATATGAACAATTACCCCCTTCGAGCTGTAAACTCCTTCTTCCAATAAACATAAACTGCAGTTAAGACTTGGTGGAAATGAACTGTTACGCAGGGTTGAGTGAACTGCTACCACAGCAATAGGCCCATGTGTAGGAAAGTCCTTTTATTTGTCTTAATTTTGCCAATTGGGTTCTTTTTTTTGACATAACCAGAATTAAGGCTGGTTTTCACTAAGCCATATATTATCGATTCGATACAATTTGTCGATATATTTTGACACAACTTTATCTTCTTTGTCCACACACTTACCGAGTATTTTATCGGCCACGAATTGATAGATAGCCGACTAAGTAGCGCATGTATGTAACACGACTGAATACTTACTTATTATTCTGATCTATACAAAACGGCTGACAAATGCCATTGAATTTGATACAGTGAAAACCAGTCTTTCGCGGTTTGTGAGTTGAACAAATTTGTTTGTAAAAAATAATTTTAATATATGTAGTTTCTTTTGAAATGTACGCTGGTAGATCGTTATTAAATTTAATTAAAACGTTATTTTTAAATATTTTTTTTTAATTTTACTTATTAGGCAAAGTTTATAAAAATGCCCGGTAATACTCTTGAAGCTGAGATTTGGACTCAAAATATACAATGGAAATTCGCAAAAATTAACTCATTAGGGCTGTTCAGGATGTTGTGGAAATGGTCTTGGATTTGCAGTTGGAATTGCATTTTACAAATTTTTTGCTTCCTTTATTGTTGTGAATTTACAAATGCAATGAATATGCAAATCCAAGAGCATATGCACAAGATCCTGAACAGCCCTACTGACTTTTTGGTCATAATTCCATTCGTGACTTTCAATTGACCTTTCACACAGATATGTGAACATGTATGTGTGTATTCATTTCCAGCGAACCAACAATTTTTGTATAGTATACTCTTCACTTGTTTTTTAAGAATTCCCCTAATTCGATTATTTTTATTTTTTTTTTAAAAACACCAACATCTTTCACTTTATGCCTACCTGATTTTTGGCTGCATCGCCAATAAGGCGTTCCATGTCGTTGAATGCAACATAACTGGGCGTGGTACGGTTGCCCTGATCATTGGCAATGATTTCAACTTTATTATTCTGCCAAACGCCCACGCAGGAGTAGGTGGTGCCCAAATCAATACCGATCGCTGGTGCCTTTACCATATTTTTTTTTTTTAATTATGTAGGTAACTAAAATGTATATATATGTATGCACTGAATTCAAATTAAATGCAATATTTCTTTATATCCTTTCTTCGCCGATCGCACACACTTCGCACTTTCGCCACCAACCAGTAAATATCTTTCAACGAATGCTCTCCGTTTGGCCTTTACAAATTTCCACCGAATGTTCGCATTCAAACGCGCCGACAGACTGTTAGCTTTTCCTGCTGTTACACTTGATTTTATGCTTTAGCGCTTTGTTACTAATTTTTGTATTTATTAAAGCTGCCGAATATTTTTTTTTTTTTTTGTAGATGTTGACGCGCTCGTCTCGTGTACTCTGCGAATCTCTGTGCGCAAGCGCTTAAATTACTAATGGTTAACGACTGACTGCTTTGTTTACTTTGGAAAAGATGCCGTAAATGAAAGTCGTCGTATGCTTCGTCGCTATTAGCAGCGGGTAGTGGCCGAAATGTTGTTGACCAAATGATTGGAAAACTTCTCAATTCTAATGGATATACTTTTGCTCTGTTTTCCTTGTCTTCAGTGGTTGCGTTGTTGTGTTGTTTTTTTGGTTTAATTATGCGAGAAATTCTTCTAGAACAGCGCTGCTGAATTTTGTTTATTTTACTGTCGATATCAAAACTAAATGAATGCAGAGATGACTTTCTTGGCATAAAAATAGAAATTCTATTGAATTGATTTTATTTGGACTTTTTGAGTGGGTGGCGATAGAGCGTTTGCGTCTGCAGACCGCGAACAACAGCCGGTGCTTAACGTTTAAAAAAAATAAAACAACAAAAACAATGATCTATTTAAATCATTTTATTAAAAACAAAAATAGTCGCTTATGAAATTAAAACAGTCGAAATTTGTAATAGTTGAAGCATGGGAAGCTATAAACAATGTAATTTAAAAATTCGTTTTTATTAAGTATATTGTTTTTTATACTTGTTTTGATTGAATGGCGTCAGCTGTGTGGTGGTGGCCTTTAACGTTTTCCCTTCTTCTTCTTCTTTTGTCCATCAGGCCAAGCAAATCCGCGCGTCTTAAGTAAATCCTTAAATTAAATAAGAATTTCAATGCGATACATAAATTAAATATATGTTTTTTGTATGTTCGTTAATAACAACTTTTAATTAACATTTGAATTTTTGTAGTGTTGTGCGGTTTATACTTAGTGTATGTGTTAAAAATTCAATACCTGAAGCGTTGTTTTTGACGTAGAATACGTCTTACGTCTCGATATGGAGGCTATGCTGAAATGTTGTACTTGTAATTTGTAGAGCTTAACGGAAACGCTTATTGCACGAGAACTAAAGAAGCGATTTCAAAGAAGAGTTTGGAGTTTCAAAGATAAAATTCCAAAGTTATCGACAGATTCATTTTTGTAAGTAACCGATTCGGTTTCTGTCGTAAAAAGAACGGTAAACATTGGCAGCAGCTTATGATTTTCAGATATCCCCAGAACAGTAAAAGTGCAACAAGAATTCTAATNTAAACGCTTATTGCACGAGAACTAAAGAAGCGATTTCAAAGAAGAGTTTGGAGTTTCAAAGATAAAATTCCAAAGTTATCGACAGTATCATTTTTGTAAGTAACCGATTCGGTTTCTGTCGTAAAAAGAACGGTAAACATTGGCAGCAGCTTATGATTTTCAGATATCCCCAGAACAGTAAAAGTGCAACAAGAATTCTAATTACTATACTCGAAGCAATCGCGCCATAACCGCGTGAGAAACATAAGCTCCAAATATTTTTATTTCGCATTTTTTAATCAAAATTCCATAATTTTTCCACAAACAAATAGCTTCTTCATACCCATCTACTGTAAATGGTACCGCCAGTGTTGCCAGGTCTTCGGCATGAGAAAACGTCCCTCTTGGTCTGAAAAAACGTCATTTCCTACTCAAAAACGTCTTTTTCAATTGAACACTAAAAATTGTTCTTATTAAACTTTTATTGTATACAAAGGTACATATCGAGCCCTAACCGCCAAAATATCGTAAGCGACATTTGTTTCAAAATTTTCTTTTTGATGCAGAAATATTCTTAAAAAAGTCGCCTACTTTTTTCTGACGTGTTATGCTGCACAGCTTTTTTGATGCTTTTGCGAGCGTGCCTTGCAATAGATCGGCTCTTCCTGAATTGGCTTTTAAAATGCAATTGCAAATATTACAGCAAGCCTCGTAACCTCAAGTGTTTACGCAACCAGCCTTTGAACACGGGATCCTTAGTCCAAGAATCCAGAAAAAAATCTTTTGAAGCAGCTGCAGCAACACACAAAGATTGTAAAGATTTATTAAAAAAAAAACAATTCAGAATCAGTTCTACTTATAAGATTTAGTAACAAAGAAAAATGACTGGGAAGTTAAAAAACGTAATTTTTTACACAAAAAAGTCCAAACGTCAACAGGGTACAAAAAACGTCCAAATGACGTTAAAAACGACAACATGGCAACGCTGGGTACCGCAAAGAATTTACAAGGCAGAAAAACAATAAAAAAATAGCTCAAAGTGGAGCATCCATTCTTGAGTTAAGGTGAAATTAGTCAACGACATAGCGTAAACGTACATTGACGCTGCCACGATCTACCTTATGGCATTTGCGTGTTAACGAAAGCTCACTACCGCATGTTGTTGATGTTGCCTCTCTGTCTATCAACAGTAAACTTGAATTGTTGCGACGTACGTTTACGCTACGTCGTTGTTTAATTTCGCCTTTATGCGCCGTCTGACGTACGCTACTTTGGTATATACATAGCAATATTTATTTTCAATAATAATCAGGGGTTATATTCGTTGTAAATAATGTGGTCTAAATTAAATAATCAAATCAAATTCGTTTTTCTTTTAAAATACCACGATGTACCATTATCCACACCTTTTTGTGGAATTTTGCTACCATTTAGGAATTGTGATTGAATTCTTCCCCTATTTCTCCTGCTTCCAAAAACCATGCCTGTGGGTGGGAGTGTCAAATTTTAGAAAAAAAAACCCTTGGTACAATAATTACAGGTATTGTCTTCCCAGAGCGTTCTGCTTTATATCGAAATTCGTGCTCCCTTATTTTCATTTTGACGAAGTTCAATGTAGATTCTTTTACTTTTATTTGCCTTCGCTTTTTGTTTTCGCTCAAATTCAAATTTTATAATTTTTCAAAACAAAAGAAAAAACGTTTGAAATGAAGTGAGCCATACAAATTTTGAATTCATTTACTAAGCAAATATTTTTTTTTCGGCATTTGCAAATTGAAAAGTTCTCTGCAAGATCGCTCTTTTTTCTTAAAAAAAAAAGAAACTTTAGAAAACTGTAGTAGAAAGCGTAGTAAATTTCTTAAGAACTGCGGTACGGCCTTAAGGAAATTTGATGCAGGAAGATTTCATAGCCATTTCTTGAGTGTCGTTTTATATGGAATTTTTGGTTTTATTGAGAGCTGCTTACTAAGCTTTAATGATAAAATTTAAGCAGTTTAAATTCTGAAATTCAAAAAAATTTGCTTACCCTTTAAGAAAATGTGCTTCACATACATACATACTTATGTAATTTTGTTTACTTTTGGGAGAGCTAAATATTATAAATTTAAAAGACCTAATGACTTAAGCAAAATCGACCCTTAATGTTACCTGTACATTATGACACACATAATAGGCATTTTCCATGGCTACATCATTGAAGATGTCGCATCCCAGCGATTTGTTGCTGTTACTCTTCTTTTTACTATCTTTTTTCTTTTCTCCCTCTTCACCGCCATTATTACTCGAAGTGGAATCTTTGCTGTTACGTTTCTTTTTACCTTTGCCACCCATTATTAAAAATTATTTGCAAGCCAAAATTGACAACATCCGAAATTTGGTTTCTCCGCGTTTAAAAGCGTTTATCGATTAAATAAACAAGTGTTGCTTTAGTTACTTACTATATATGTATGTATGTATGTAGGTTGTCATTTTGTTTATGTATATTCGATTACTGTTCCGCCGGGAAATAGTTGCTGTAATAATCTGGCCAAACAACTGATGTGATCCATTCAATGTACGAGGAGACACGCGTATACACTCCAGGATATGCGCTACGACAAACCGTTCCATACGAAGTCATTCCAATCAAATAATAACGAAAGTGTTTTCTATTCTTACGCATCAAGTTCAATTGTAGTGGTCCACCCGAGTCGCCCTGGAAATAAAGTTTTATTGAATAATGCTGGTTTAGATATATGTATGTATGTACACTCTAAAAAGTGCATGTAAAACTACTACTGAAAAGTGTTTATTTTTCAACCAGAATCTGTTCAAGTATACGCACAAGATGTTCAAGATTTGATTTTGAACATGAGTTGTTTAAAATATACACATGAAATGTTTAAAATTACAAACATTTTGAAAGTAAAAATATATTTTTTACATAAATGATTTTCCATACAAAATCACCTCGTCATCATTTTGCAAACACGTGCATATGTTGGAAGTGTGGGAAGGAGACAAAAAGTATGTATGCGTATGTAATGCGGCTTTTGATCGCAGCGTATGTACATATGTAAATTAAATGCATATATACGTACATATGAAAGTTTCAGTTAATGTGGATCTGTTTGGTTTTGTTATCGATATTTTTATCGATTTTGTTATCGATTTTGCTATCGATTTTAGTATCGATATTTTTATAGATTTTGTTGCCGATATTTTAATCGATTTTGCCATCGATATTTTTATCGGTTTTGTTACCGATATTTTCACCGATTTTGTTATCGAAATTTGTATCGATGTTGTTATTGATTTTGCTATCGATATTTTCGGAACTTATCGATATAATGATCGATATTTTTATCGATTTTGTTATCGTTTTTGTAATCGATTCTGTTATTGATTTTATTATTGATTATTTATCGGTTTTGTTATAGATATTTTTCTTGATTGTTTTAACAATTTTGCTATCGATATTGTTATCGCTTTTGTTATCGATATTTTTGTCGCTTTTATCATCAATATTTTTATCGATTTTTCTATAGATATTGTTATCGCTTTTGTTGTCGGTATTTTTATCGGTTTTTTACCGATTTTGCTATCGATATTGCCATCGCTTTTGTTATCGATAGCTTTATCGAGTTTTTTATCGAATTTATTACCGATTTTGTAATGGATTTTTTGATAGATTTTGTTATCAATTTTGTTATTGACTTTGGAATCGATTTTGTTATCGATTTTGTAATCGATTTTTCGATAGATTTTGTAATCGATTTTTTAC